ATCTTCTCATACATTTAACCATATCTGTTTTTGTGAGAATTCCTTGTACCTCCACCTCTGCACATTCTCATTTTGGAGCTAATTCAGTTTTTTAAGCATGCTCAGGGGGTGCTAGAAGCTTGAAAGAAAAGACGCTTTGCTGACTATGAACGCTATTCTCTTCTCCGATAGAAGCAGGTTATATAAAGGCTTTGCTTGCTTGCTTGTGTAGCAATTCTCTAGCATCTACTTACCATAAAATGGTAATTTTTAAAATGGGCCCAGATACAGGTAATGGTGTCAAAATAGAGGTTTCTCAACGTGATTTCATAGGTGTATTAGATTTAACCAATTAGGTAATAAAGCTGCTCACAAAACCCACAAAGAAAAAACTGATTATGGAAATCAACTTATTTTTTTAACCCTAAAATAATCCATTATTTTGGATAATACTTGCATCGATGACCAGAAATCAAGATATTTTCCTCACAGGGATAGTATATCGTGCAGATTAACATTTAGACCAGGAAAGAGAGGGAATTGCGTTGTCCTGTAAGGTCTACTATAGCTCTGCCATCTTCTGAGTGATTTGGAGCCCTTCCATCAAAACCATCCCCCTCATCCTCCAGCCCCACCTCCCTCCAGCCCCACCCCACTCTAGCTCCACCCCTGCAATTGCTTTGACCCGAACTGCTTCTTATTTGAGGAGGGTGGAGTTTAACGTCATCTGTAACTGCTTCCTTTATTTCCCTTAAAGTGAATTCCATAAAATGTCCATGGTGTTCTTAGAAGAAAAGGTTTGGATAATGTTGCCTGAGTTAATATTAATGTGAAATATTCCCTATAAATCATCACCTCCTTTTGAAAACACCAAAAATACATAATGCATGGTGCAAGTAAAACTAGTGGCCAAAAAAATCACAATAATGTTATTCAGATCCTCAATGGCTGTGTCAATAAAAAACAACCTATTTGACTTGGGCGGTGGACACACAATGCAATGTACAATTCACATATCATAGAGATGTATACTTGAAACCTACATGACCCCATTAACCAGTGTCATCCCAGTAAATTTAATAAGACAAAAGAAGAAAAGTAGCCAGAAAAAATCAAATTCAATACCACTGGTAAATTTACCAGGATAAAAACTCTGAGGCACAACACAATGTAAAGCTTGCACACCAGTTATTCCTGCTTCTAGAACAGATTAGTTCATGAAAAAGTTGGAAAAGCAAATTTTTGTGATCCAGATCCTGTTTTAAAAACCATATCTCATTTTTGCATGTAAGCATTTTGAATGTATGCTTTCTCAGGTAAACCTCTTTCTCAGCAACTCTGTTAGTAGCTGGAGTTGCGAGAAACTGAGGCAGCTCAGTGATTTGACCAGACACGTAGAAAGCGGTAGAGTGGAGGCTCCAGACCAAGTCCACAGATTTCTTTGGTTTAGGAAGATACCCACCTCCTTTTGTGAAGTAAACAAATCCTTAGAATTATAGTCACACCCTCATTTTCCATGTTAGAAAATGTGGATTTTCTTGTTGGGTATATTTAAAACAGGGTGTGCTTGTTTGTATAATATGTTTTTGTTTGCTCTTTTGTCTATTTTTGGAGCATAATCATGGCTGAATTATTTTATATGTTCCGTAGTTATTATTATGGCATATAGTATTTTATTCTCTGATTGAACAGCAAATAAGGACTTTCCTTAAAGAGATTCGTTTCCATCCTGGTTCATATTTATCTTTTAAAAAAAAAAATTCAACCTTGTTCAAAATTTCTTTAAAATCTTAGAACACAGCTGCTAATTCACCTTTAATCCACTATACTGATCCCAAATGCATGACTGCCTATGCAAATTTTTGTCGTTTGAGACTGGCCTTTTAACCAGAAAAACCATCTATTGTGCCAACCTGCAGGTTGAATATCAGGAATCACAACCTCTCTGGCAGAGGAAGAGAGTCTATGATTTAAATATCCAATCTTATTTTATTCCCTGTTACCAACCACGTTGTAGTTATTTTGGGAACCAGTAAACTGGTCTCAGTTCATTCATCTGAAAACTCAGGGAGAAGCTTCCTTATAAGGACTTGTGTCAGCAAATAAAGGATTAATATTTACAGAGTATTCTGAGTTGCCCAGACAAAGGTTCTAGAGGAAGGAGAATGATCACTTTTGGTCCTCATATCAAAAACTATATGATAATCCCTTCAAGGCTTTAATACATAACAATTTCAGAAAAGCCACGGTGCACTTCAACAGGAGAGACCAGTGGAGAGGAGCAACCCAGAGTTCAAACCTGATATTGATTCTCTTTGCAATTTAAAGCAGGTCATTTGTTTCCCTATTTATAAAGGGAAATGATAATAGCTGGCTCTGCATCACAGAATATTGAAAAGAAATATAAAATAACTTGAGCTCCTAAAAGAAAAGTAATATTGAAATGTAAGGACCATACAAGTTGCTTTAAAAAGCCTTACAACCCCCAACAACCATGTGAGTTAAACATCTTACTTCAATAGGCCTGATTATAAAACTCAATGATTAGCTATATTGATAGGATACACTGTTTCCCTGGGTCCTGTCCAAAGATTCATACACAGTTTAAAAATCCTTGCAGGAATCTCAACCTAAAGATGCAAGTACGCCCCTTCCCCTCCAGTGATTGTTTATGCATATCTACCTGTTCCTGGAACACTATAGGTGGTGATGGGCAAGAGGGACCCACTGAAGAAATTTTGTTGGATTCCTAAGATCACACTCTTTTGTCATCTGCCACTCTATTATAGAGTAACAGGAATTAATAGTTCTAGCAGCCATCCATATATGCCAGTAGTATTTTCCCATTCTAGATTGTCCCTGGTTTTCATATATGTAGTGTTCATACAATCTAAAATTCTGAACATGGATAACCCTATACTACTTTTTTTACAGGTAATAACTTTGGTTTCTTACATATCAACTGACCAATAATTTTCTGCCTTGCCATAACCTCTGTAGAAAAGGCTTCTGTTTTATTGGAGAGGGGCACAGTTTAAACACTCTCCCTCCCCCGCTTCCCCACACACACACCCCAGAGCTGAGGGCTCCCTGGCCTCCAGACCTTTCAGAATCAGAGCCAGGATGTTCCTGGACCTGCTCAGCTAGCCTTCTTTCCCACACCAGCGGGGCCCTTGCAGCCAGCCCTGCCTCTCTGTTAGCCTGGGGTGGGTGGGTGGTGGGAGTGGGGACAGTGAGGACAGAGTTGAGGACTGTGGGCAGCCTGGGCAGGAGCCTGAGGTAGGTAGGCATTGAGAGTTGAGTTCTAAGGCCACTGATAGCCTTTGCTCTGGGGTCTTAGAGAAGATTCCTTTCCCCCATTCATTGTCCTAGTTTCAGGCATTTTCTGTCATGGAGGTTAAAAGTTAGGGCCTCCCTGACCGTTTACCATCCCTTGTGGAGAAATCGGCCCTCTAGAAACAAGAGAGGCCTCGCTTACCTCCACTTCTCTAGTCTTTAGTGTGACATTCACAAACCCACAGCTGCCTCCCCCAGGACCCCTCAAGGCCTAAAACTTGTTTACCAGCCAGATCATTTAGCTCCAGGAAATATGACACATGTACACACATTTTGGCATGGATCCATTCTTTCTAGTACTCTGACAACAGTCTCCATTCCCCTACCCCTCAAAATAACTTGTGAATCTATTGCTAGTCTTTGAAACTTTGATTTTTATAACAATTTTTTTGCAAAAGTATGTTGGTGTGTTCCAGTTATATTGGAAAGAGACTGCCTGTGGCATTTTATTCTCGGTATCTTTCACAAGTCTCTGAAGCCTAGCAGAATTGAGTATATTTTTCCTCCGATTTCTAAAAGAATGCTACATGACAGAAAAATTTTGGCTAAAATTAAGGAACTAGATATTTCCTAGGTTTTAGAGACCTTGGATTATTTTGGCCAGTTTTTTTTTTTCTTGGTAAGGCAGTGGGAGATTATGAAAGAAGAACAAACAAAAAGCTGAGAGATGGATCAAGATGTAGAAGAGGGCCACAACACTGTCTTCTCCGGCCTGCTCCTCAGAGGGGTGTTTTAAGAGACATGCATCAGTTGACAGTCCTGTAGGCCCCCCAGAGCTGAGCCGGCAGGACTGTGTCCTACTCAGTGTTTGCAGGTAAGTGGGCTGGCTGTTAGACCACCAAACTGAGAACCAGCCAACCCCGCTGATTCCAAAACCGCACTCGTTTGCAGGGCAGAGGCTGCTTTCCTCTCCTGCCTCACCCTCACATGCCAAAGACCTCCACCCCAGGCTTGGTCTTTTTCAAGCCTGCTTGTTTGCTTTGACCACACTGAGCCACCTTGTTGTTTATCCGAGCTATCTTATCTAGTAGTGTTGAGTCACCGTTGCATTTATTGCCTGTACCTACAGCCTTCTCAGGTAGCTTCTGGGGGTCCCGCCCTGGGAATGGAATTCTCTGACTTAAGCAGCTGAGCTTTTACAGTACAGACCCACCTAAGCCAATACGTGAGTCCCAGATTTCTCAGCATTGTAGCAAACAAACATTTTTGGATTTTTGTGAAAATCTCCTCTTTCTTCCCTTTCCTTAAAAAAAAAAAATTCTATATTTTTAATTCACCTTTTATTTTGAAAAGCTTGTAGAGAATGTTGTGATAACCTTTGATCACTGGCCACATCCAAGGGCGATGTTAACCCAGCACTTAAAAGCACTAACATAAATCTAATACTTGTTATTGGCCTTAATACTTAGACTTAAAATGTACTATAGTTGCCCGGCTGGGCGTGGCTCAGCGGCTGAGCGTCCACCTGGGATCCAGGCGATCGGGGTTCGATTCCCGGTCAGGGCACACGCCCCGGTTGCGGGCTCGATCAATGACTCTCACCATTGATGTTTCTCTCTCTCTCCCCCTCCTTTCCTGTCTCTGAAATCAATAAAGATACATTTTTTAAAAATGTTCTGTCGTTATACAATGTTTAGCTACTGATGGGCCCGCTGACATCACCTTAACGCCGTGCTTGCCCGCAGGAACCCTTCACCGAGCCAGCAGCGTCCCTGAGTACGTCTACAACCTGCACCTGGTGGAAAACGATTTTGCCGGCGGGCGGTCCCCTGCCCCGAGGACCTATGACATGCTGAAGGTAGGCTCCCGGACACTGGAACGCTCGTCAGCACATTACCCTAAAAACATTTTTCAGCTCCCATAGCTTCTTTTTTAATGTTGTCTTTCCGAAATAGTACCATTTCCTAAATGCGTTACGAGAAGATTGCCACTGCGCGGACACCGTAGAAAACCAGGGACTTGAAACAGCGTCAAATCCTAGCGCAAATAACTTGACCAAATTAACCAAATCTTGTTTCAAAAGAGATTTTCCAGCCAGAAAGGGCCCGACTCCTCCACGCGATTCAGAGACGCGGCCGCCTCGCGCCGTAGCTGGTGCGCGGCCGCGAGGAAAGCCGATGGGCGCCTCACTTCAGCTCTGTCTCGCCCGCAGGCCGGCGGGAGCGCCACGTACGAAGGCCGCTGGGGGCGGGGCGCCGCGCGGTTCAGTTCGCAGAAGTCGGTGGACGACCGGTCGCTGAGGCAGCCCCTGCGCCGGCTGGAGATCTCCCCGGACAGCAGCCCCGAGCGGGCGCGCTACTCGCTCGCCGACTTCCAGTACAGCCGGAGCAGCCAGGCGGGGCTCGTGCGGCGCCAGGACAGCCGGCGCTCCACCCTGCTGCTGCC